TGAGGCCGAGATCTACGCTGGGGCTATGGCTGCGCAGGAGTTACGTTGGCTGATCTACTTGCTCACCGACTTGGGAGAGCAGCCTCTTTCTGCACCGGTTCTGTACACTCACAACAAGGTGTTGAATTATATTGCATATCTTATAACTGCCTACAGCTAGCTAGTGTACTAGTTTAGTTATTAGCATCAACTGTTGGTGGTGTACCCTCTCTTTTCCTTGCCTATATCCTTGTACTGTTTCTCATTATTGAACCTCTTTTGGCCAAATTACTTCCTCTCGATACCATCGCCATGCTCCTTAGCTCCTACTCTCCTAACCTAACTAAGTTCAGACTTTAACATGGTATCAGAGCCCGTGTTTCGGTCCTAGGCCCTCGCTCAAATTTGAACCATGGGAGCTTTCCCTCACGCTCGTTTGCAGCTGCTGGCGGCCTGCAAGGCGACCGCCGCGACGAGCAGGGAGACGGTCGCGAAATGCAGCGCGAGTACTGCAGCAGCTGCGCGATCGCCGTTCGTCGCGGCCGCCTCGTCTCGCCCCATCGCCCCGCCCCTTCGTCGCCACGTCGCCCCACTGCTGCGCCTCTGCCGCCCCCCCGTTCGCCCCCCGTGCGCTTCCGCACCCGTCCCGCCCCTGCACGTATGCGGGGGCGGTAGCTATAACGTGGAGGATGGGGGAAGGGAGTGGCGGGCCGACGGCAGCAGTCGCCCGCGTCAGCGCCAACGAAGTTCGTTGGCGCCCCCGACATCTCCATCCTGCTCCCCGCCCTCCCCTCTGCCGCGCACTGCAACGGCAGAGACTTGGGGAGGGGGTTGGCGGGATTGGCAGGCGAGGCTCCGGGGGTACTAAAGCCCCCCTTGAACCCCCCTATCCTCCTCCTCCTCGCTGCACCGCATCTGCTGGGCGTGCCGCGTTGGGGGGGGGGGGGGAGAAGGGATGTGGGGGTGGCGGGTTTGACAAGGCAGCCCCAGCCGCACCTCCTCCCTCTACCTTCCGCTGCACCATCTCCTCCTCCTCTCTCCTCCCTCCAACCGCATCTCCTCCTCCTCTCTCCTCCCTCCAGCCGCATCTCCTCCTCCTCTCTCCTCCCTCCAGCCGCATCTCCTCCTCCTATCTCCTCTCCTCCAGTCGCATCTCCTCCTGTGCACCACCACCAGTTTCCTCCTCCTCACCAACAGTTGTGTTTGCTCGTAGATGGCGAGCGACCAGCATCCTTCGCCCTCCGGCTATCCCAGCCCTCCTCCGCGCTCTCCGCGCCCACCTCCGCTCTGGCGTTCACAGGTGCTGCCGTTCAGCCACCGCTGTTTCTGTGCCTATCCCAGCTACAGCAACCGCTCTCCAGGCGACCTGGTGCCAGACACCACTAGCTACAGCCGTAGGCAGTTACGGGGTGTGTTGAATTATATTGCATATCTTATAACTGCCTACAGCTAGCTAGTGTACTAGTTTAGTTATTAGCATCAACTGTTGGTGGTATACCCTCTCTTTTCCTTGCCTATATCCTTGTACTGTTTCTCATTATTGAACCTCTTTTGGCCAAATTACTTCCTCTCGATACCATCGCCATGCTCCTTAGCTCTTACTCTCTTAACCTAACTAAGTTCAGACTTTAACACAAGGAATAGTATGCAAAGTAGCTCTAAAAACCAGCTGAACCATGAGGTGGGAAAGGGTACTATTGGATTGTCCATCCACAACAAAATATCACATCCTGAAAGTGTGAACTGCAGCATGAATTGCATCTGCTAGTTGTGGAACAGTCTTGGAGCTGAGGCCAGCCATGCTGATACGCCTGTGAAAGAGCCAATCATGTATGTTAGCATCTAAACTAGTGCTACACGAAAAGAGAACCCTTCTGAACTCTGCCATATACATACCCATCAGAGGTCATGTAAATGTGGTACTCCCGGGTCATGAAGGTAACCTGAAGTAAAACAGTCCAAATCAACTTTATATCAAGCAGAGGTCTTGTGATGGGCGAAGGGACTTAATGATACACGAAGACCAGCCAAAGTCGCAACTTCAAAAATGTTATGTACCTGCTCTTTCGATAGGCCCGTGAACGTGAACATCCCAATCTGCTTAAGAATGTGAGTCCAATCACCAGGGGTTCCTGCCATCCATGAAAACACACATAAGCACCTGCAGATTTCGTCCAGCAGTTTGACGCAAGCAGGAGACGCACCTCTCTGCTGGAGTGCCGCATACAGTTGCTGCCTCATGCTGATAATCCGGTCCGCCATTCCTTTAAGCTCGAGGGTCCATTCGTTGAACAAGTCCCTGCAATCCATGCCCAGCATCAACACTGCACTTGTACACGAGGTGGTTGGCTACCAACAAAACAGCCCAGAAGCAACCCTTACTTGTCAGAAAGAACAGCTGCAACAATGCGAGCTCCATGGGCAGGCGGGCTGGAATACATCGGCCTAATCACCATCTTGAGTTGACTCTCAACCTTTGATGCAGCCTTCGGACATGCACAAACCTGCCAATGCGAGGATGCGTCCAAACACCAAGATATTTTTAGGCAGAACAATCCACAACGAGAATCAGGATACACTCTGCAATACATACTCACCATGCTCAATGCGCCAATGCGTTCACCATAGAGTCCAAGGTTCTTGGCATAGCTCTGAGCGATCATGCATTCTCCGCCATCGTCCACGAAAAGCCTAACAGCATGAGCGTCCTCGTCCAGGCTACCACTTGCAAACCCCTGTTAAAGAGCGAGAAACAATAGCTCTTAGCACCATTACAATGCACACCGTTCAAGCATACCAAATCTTGAGTCCTTACCTGATAGGCGCTGTCAAAGAAGGGCAAGTGACCTTTTGCTCGGATAACCTTGCGAATCATGTTCCACTGCTCCTTGGTGGGGTCCACTCCAGTCGGGTTGTGCGCACATGCGTGGAGGAGGACAATGCTACGATCGGGAGCAGAATTAAGATCCTGACACATTCCTGCGAGAAGTAAAATGAACACGTAGTGGCAGCTCAGAACACTGCCTTTTCACTAACTCGTGACAAGAGACTGGTTTCTAACCAACCTTCAAAATCAAGTCCTCGAGTCCCCTTATGATAATATCGGTAAGGTTTGACAGTCACTCCGCCAGAAGGAAAGATCTTGTTGTGGTTCCCCCAAGTAGGTGAGGGAAGGTAGATGCATTTGTTCTGGAAGATAAAACCATGAACAGCACCGCGTGTCAGTTGCTAAAGATGGACCACACATACGACTTCCTTTCCTGAATATACTACTTACAAAAGGGTAGTGAGCCTTGATAAACTCAGCTCCCACTCGTAACGATCCCGTCCCGGAAAGACACTGAACTGTGGCAACCCTGCTTTCCGCAATGGCGCGACTGCACAAAGACAACCCAAGTCTTCAGATAAACGCGAAAGAACCACACAGCATGATCTAGCACCAGTCCCTACCTGTTAGCACCAAGGATGAGCTTTGCTGTCAGTTTGTTAAATGCTGGAAGGCCAGCAATAGGAAGGTATTCGTGATTCAGTGACCTGAGTCAAGAGATTTAAGGCAGGAAGAGGTGAGCAGACGAAAGCTTAAAAACGTGGCATTAACTGAAAGTCGAAAAGTTTACCTGTCCGCAAGCATCATCAGCTCTGCACGGTGCACAACATCAAGCACCAACGGCTTTCCCTCCTGGAAACAAAAAACGAAAGGAAACTGAATAAAAACGCTGATCGGTACGAGCTTCGGAGAAATATAGGCTGCAAGACTTGGACCGCCGTTGTCATCCGTACCTCAGTGCGGTAAGCTCCAACTCCAAGGTTAACCTTTAGCGGGCTTGGATCCTTTTGAAAAGCCACGGTTACCTGAAAATGGTAAACTTGAAGATTTCAGGTATCGCTCCGAAATTCACTTCCAAAGGAAAGTAGCTTGTAGACCTTACACCAAGAATAGGGTCTTCTGGAGCTTGATTTACCGCACCCCAAACGCCACCGGCTTGCGATGAAGTCCAGCTGGTGGAAACACCAAGTTCAGCATGGCTCACGGAAGCGCAAAGATGCCCTTGCAACACCTCAAGTCGGCGGGAAGCCATCAGTGTCAATCTGGAATGGAGCTGGAAATGCTCAGAGACGACTAGTGAATTCGACTTGCTGCTGCTTTTTGTCCTAGCTCTCCGACTTTTGCTTGGAAACACCAGGCATGCTTCGTTCCCCACCAGCACTGACACCGTGTTGAAGCAGCTTGGTTCCGTTTGGCCCACATTGGGGCCACAAAGCTGTTGCCACGTCATTCGAAAGCGGATATGACGAGGCAATTACGGGTGACTGCCATGTCATAACCGAACCCAGGACCACACTCACCTGGAAATTCATACAGTACTTACCAGAAATTAGTAATTCTAGCATGTGCTGTTCTTTCTGAAGAAGAAAAGCGGACCTCTCAATACGGAGTATAGTATAGGCCAACATCTGACAGGCAAATGCTGACAATGGAAGCTATACTATACAGTGGAAATGTTACCAAGCTGTAAGAATAAGATGGATAACATGATAACTACATCAACAATAATGCCATGATACATATTTTGTGTCCCAGCCAGATATTTAGTAACAGGAAATGTAGATAAAAGGCCGAAAAATGCTTGATAAGAAAGATAGTACAACTATACCGTATGTTGATACAATGTACAAGTGTATTACTCGAAAGGGGTAATCCGCATCGATTCGTGAGAAATTTATGTCCTTATTTACGAGATTTCCGTTTAAGTTTATTTCAGTGATTTTGTAATGACTGTTTTGAGGTAATTTGAGTTCTCCCATTTGACTTGTTTAAGTCATTTTATACAAGAGTTCTTTCAGTATCGCTGTAGGGAGCCGGAGCTCTCCTTACACGGACCTCTCCAGCCCCTTCCAGCTAAATGAACTGCGCCTCGCACATCATCGAACAAGGCGATTGACGCGGGCATCCGCAATCTCAGCTTTCATTTCTCACCTTCAAGACTAAGCCGAAGCTCTGAGGATCCACTGGGTTCACAATGGCGAGACGAGTAGATGTCACCAAGCGATCCTCTGCTACTAGGCCCGCAATATCACTCGATGACGGGGTTCCTCCCCCAGAACAAAGCGGGTTTGTGATATCTAGTACAACATCGCGTTTGCATTCTGTGATAAGTATGTATTGCTGACCAGGAAGGTACTCCACTGCAGGATCGACCTCCTTCCGAAACCACTTCCGTCTTCTGAGCAGCAAGATGCTCGTAATAGGTACGTTTGCAATCTAAGCACAAGAGTTAATGAACTTCCTTATTTGCGTGCTAACGTTTCGACATCAGGACTCGTTCGAGGGATTGGGCTGACAAGGTTATCGTTGTGGGAGAATCCAGCGTGGGAAAGACGAACCTTATAATGAAATATTGCTCAGGGGGCTATTCAGAAGACTTCAAGGTAACTTTGATGTTTCTCTCGTTGTTCGTAATTCACCAGTGCACTGATGCTTCTGGTCCTCTTCGCAGTCCACCATCGGTGTCGACTTCTTCTGGCAGAAGTACAAGCACCGAGACTATGAGTTTACGCTGAACATGTAGGTCATCTTGCTTTCACTTTCACATACGTTTGAACTGAAATTTTGGCTGTTTCCTTTTTCAGATGGGATACGGCTGGTCAAGAGCGTTTTCGTGCAATTTCCTCCACGTATTATCGAGGTGCTCATGCTTGTATACTGGCTTTCGATCTAGGCGATCCTAACACTTTTCAAAAGATGAAAAGGGTAAGACTTGAGCGCATTCGGTTTACCTCTCCGTCTGCTCTTCCGATGGTATCCCATGTCTGATGGGTCATTTGCGACTGAGCAGTGGGCTGGTGATGTCATTAAGCACAACCAGGGTCAACAAGTGCTGTTCTTTCTGGTTGGCTGCAAGGTACGTTTGTGAGACATTTTTTCTTGGTTTTTTCTTATTTGGATGCTGATGAGCCAATTCTGGCAGGCGGACATGTTTCACGCGGTGAAACACGAACAGGGGCTGAAGATGGCACAGGAATTAAACGCAGAATACTTTGAAGTCAGTGCTAAATCAGGTCAGCCCTTCAAACTTGTCTTGCTGCGCTTCTAGTCTACACCATCTGCAATCACGCTGTTCTGTTGCAGGTGACAACGTCCCATGGTTGTTCAACCGAGTAGCTTATGTTCTGTTGCAGTACAAGATCCAAGCATGCATGCAGCCGCCACAACCTTTTTCATCAAGTAAGAAGTCATTGCGTGCTGACTATCATGGACGGCATAGTAGGTTGGCATGCCATAAGACTTGCCATTAATGACCTTGACCATTTGTTCACAGCTTTCAAGAGCAAGGTGGCTCCTATAGGAGGAGGAAAAGGAATTGGAAGTCCCAGTGCTGGAAAGGGAACAGAGAATTGGAAGGAGAAACACAATGGCAAGGTGCTTTCTCTCAAGGGGGCAGATCATAACAAAAAGATTGCAAGAGGCCCACTATTTAAATGCTAGTGCCGTTCTATAGTACGCAGCTCCGAGGTTATTATGGAGATTCATGAAGAAAAAGGCTTGTCACGAATCCACTTCGTTGCCACCCACTTGGAACCTTTCACCACAGGACAGCTTCCGTGTAGTGAAGTCTGCAAATGGCAATCGAACAAAAGAGGAGTGGCAACAGTGGTAGCAAGGGATGAAATGAAACAGACAGGAAAAAAAATCGCAGAAGCATGGCATAGAGAGGGTAACAAATCCTTACTGGATCAATGGTGCCATTAGGGTAGATGGACCAAAACAGCAAAGCATCTCCCATCCGTGGCTTCACTTTAAGGCCAATGCAGTCCTTGTAGTTGTAACCAATATGCATGTTGCGCCCACCCTGAAAAAAGTTGCCCACACACAGACATAAATGACGGCTGGAAGCAGGGTGTCACGAGCAACATACGGGCGCTTATGGGGCATTACATGACACAGCAGAGATGCTAAATAGAACACACGTGCACACACCTCATATGGAAACATGGTTTCACCACCCTCTTCCACGTCCGTAAGATAAAGTAGGAACGAGGCCATCTGACAGGAGGTACTCAGTGGAAAAAAATGAATGCAGGCCCGTATTACAGCAGGAGAAGATACGCATCATGAACAACCGATGCAGCCCCATAAGGGAAGGACTATGGGGCTCATAGAAAAAGAGCTAAAGGGGATATTAAACATTTTCTCCACACAACAAGTACTCACTCGATTGCTGGATTGAGGGCCATACTCCTTCGGATCGAATACGTCCATGTGCGAGTCGTAATGCTGCCCCAACTCGTACCGCAGAACATTGAACGACTGTTGGTCAAGGGTGTCAAGGCATGAAAGTGAGTGAGGCGCGAAACAGAAGCTGTACACAAGGTGAGGTGGGTTTTTTAGCAGCAAACTTGCCTGTGATTCTGTACACAACTCACCTCCCCGTGGTTTACAGGAAGGCCTGTCACTGCTGCCATCTTGCGCTCCACCCAAGCAAGTGAGCCCGACGGGTCCATGTTGGCTGCAAGAAAAGTCCCTGAGCTGAAGGAAGGTGGCAGCAACAGAAGTGAACGAAGACAAGAGGGGAAGTGCGGGCGGATGTCACTCTGTTGAAGCCAAAACATTGGGTGCTTCACACGTTTACACTGTCCCCCCAATGTTCAATTCACATGACAGCCATTCCAAAAAGAAAACAGGAGGCATACAAATAGATAAATAAAAAACGTACGACCAGCCTCCTACCTCGTGCGGATATCCCGGGTGCCTTCCTCATTCTCGCCTGGCCTGAGAGCCAGTCCAGATGGGGCCATGCGCTTGGAGGCGGCAGCAAGAACGTTCTCACACACGTGGCGTGGGGCGAAGCGGGGGAAGACATACGCACGTGGATGCCATGATATCATCTGAGAATAACACAGGGGAAGGTGGAGGCCTTTGGTGAAGTGTAAAACGGAGACAACACATCTGACAGTAGAATTTGCCAGTCACTACTCTTATCTCTCTCCTCCCTCCCTGCCTCCAGTGCGCGTAAGCCTTGCCACCATGCCACGACGAAACTTCCCCCCAACCCCATGACACTCATTGGAACCGGACCATCCCACCTGGAACGGCACCGTGGACACGCTGCTCTCGCCCGACGTGCCGTGATCAAACGCCGGCCACCCATGGCTGCCCTCCCCGTCCGCCCCCACCCCCTCCCCTTCGGCTCCCCCCTTCCCCTTCCCCCCCGCCTCCCCTTCCCCCTCGGCTCCGCTGTCCAGGCTCCCGCGGTGGTCCCCTCCGCGCTCCAGGCGAATTCCGCGGTGAGCGGGGTTGGTGAAGGAAGCGGGGACGGCTCTTGCGGGGGCTCTGAGGTCAGGCACGCGCTGAGGGGAAAAAGGGGATGGAAACGGGTGGTTGATGGGGAAGAAGAATTTTCGAGGGAGGAAGGAGGAGGAAGGGGAGAGGAGCGGGGAGACAAGACCGGTGGGAAACAGAGAGAGAACTCTGCCGTCCTTCCGTCAGTACACCCTCCCAGCACTCCCGCAAATCCACGCGCTCAGTGTAACGCATTATACCAAGTATCTCGTGTGAAAGTATCTCGCGTCACCATCGGCCGAAAACATCCTTTAATTGCGTCGCGTGAAAAAAGGAGAAGACAAAAAAAAATCAAATAGTAACGCGTCGCGCGTAGACGTCGTACCCCGAAGATGCCGCTGCCATAGAAGCTTCCCATGAAGAACGCGGCGACGCACATGAGCGCGACGATCCCCACCGGGCACCGCACCACGCCGGCCCGCCGAATCTTGGATCCCATCAGCTTCGATCCCACCATCCAATCCTCGATGCGCGCGACTAGAGTAGCCGTAAGCGGATGCTCCTCCCGAGAGGCAGAGGGGAAAAAATCACAGGTCACTGGCTGGCTGCTTCCGTGCTGCTACTGTAGCTTCCAGTGCTATAGCCGCTCTGCTGCCGCTCGGCCTTGAGGTCTAAGCAGCAGGGACGCGAAGCATACGGTGCAATGGCGACGCTTGCTCGTCACAGGGACAAGCAGGAAGAAGAGATAATCCCAGTATAATCAGAGGTAATCCCAGTCTAATCTCCCAGGGCTCCCAGAAACCACTATAGACTGGTCAGTGAAATTCAGGGCCAGTCGGGTTACTCTTTATCAGCGATAGTGGAGGATGAAATTCGCAACCGTCGCCGAACGGCAGAGTGACGTCGCCTGTGAAGTCTGGCGACAGCAGTCTCCAGTCCCTCGCTGATTTCGGCGGAGAGGCAGGCATGCCTCGTCTGTCGCTGATCTGACGAGGGTGCGTGCGAGTTTCGAAGCCACGTCGCGCAAATCGAAGTAACATGGGTTAGGTGTCATGTAATAACAATTGCAATACAAACGAGACCTTCTACACATAAACAAAGGCAAAACAAAGCACAAATACCTAGAGCACCACAAATATAACTATTCAGCAATTGCTAACAACAAATCCCTCCCTCGACCAAGCCTCCACGTACTGCATCCCAAGCGTCCAACCACTTCAAACGAGCTGACACAAATCTATCCAAGGCACGGCTCCAACAAATGCATCCACGTTCTGGCACCTAAGGCACCTGGCCAATCAGATAAGCACGTTTCCGAAAAAAGGTGCCCATGCTGCAGCTAGGAACCAGCCACAACTCCCCGCAGCTCAAGTAGCACTACTGAGCGACCCATGCTGACAAAGCCGCATAGATGATGACCTGTCGAAGAACGCTGGCATGTAACAGCCTGAAGCAGCATCCTGCTGTTGGCCAAGCAAGCACACACAAAGCGCTCAAACACCTCTCAATACCTCTCAACACCTCCAGCATTGCAAATCCTTCAACAACTCCATCCTCCTCACTCCACCTGGCACCCCTCACAAGCAACATGCCTCACCGCAACCCCACCCAGTCCCTCATCACTGCCCTGCACTCCTCCAGACCTGTTATCACCTCACACCAGAAACCACCAGGCGAGTCGCCACCAGACCCACCACACAGCGACTTGCAAGCCACAAAACAGCAAGCCCCTTCGTTCCCAGCAAGCCACAGCACAACAACACACAATAATGAACCAACAAACGGCGCAGAGCAGGTGCAAGCCTGCACCTCCACATGCACACGCAATGAGCAGGGTTATGGGGAAACACTGACTGACAAACACTCACGAAAGCGCAACTGCACAAACACACAAACTTTTTCTTGCACTGACTGATGCACAGGTAACACACACCACTCTGACAACCCAAAAAAAGCATAAAAAAAACCAACCTTTGAACTGAATCATTCACACACCTGTCCTCTCCCCTTCCCCCCCTCCCCCCCCTCTTCTAATTCCCACCTCCTTCTTGCCTTGGCCATCCCATTCCTCCTCCACCTCATACACAAACCCTCATAGCAACCAATCTCCTCTCCCTTCCTTTCCACTTGAATCCAAACGCCTTACCAACGAGCAGATTGCACTCTGCCCCCAGCACACCTTGCTCGTAACGGCCAACTACCCCACTTCCTCAATCCAGCTGCCCAGTTGACACCAGGGGCGCTAGTAGTGACAGCTCAACCCAACCGCCCACACCTGCCACCTGCTGCCACTCTCTACCACTACACGGCTTGTGTCTGCATTTTCTCCCTCTGGCATCACCCAGGACGAGAGGAGGCAGCACCTGATTCACATCTACTGATGCATCTTGTCCTGCTCCGGCTGCTCCAGCTGCTGTTGCTGTGAGGCATGAGCTGCTAACGCCAGGTCATTGCAATCGGTGCGCCTCTCCCCCACCTCCTCCCCCCATGTGCTGCCAGCTGGCACTCGTCCATGCACCATGCGCACCTGCTGCCGCAGCAGATGCAGCACCAGAGGTAGCACCAGGAGGCATGGCAGAAGACACGGCAGGCCCAGCAGCAGCAGCAGCAGCAGCAGCAGCAGCAGCAGCAGCAGCCGCACGTTCTGCTGTTGCAAACGCGGAGGCAGACGGAGCAGCCATGGATCCGGGCGCCTGGAACCCACTCCCCATACCATCAGGCACAGACCTCATGCTGCCTTCCCCTGCTCCACGTCCCCCTGGTCCGCCCCCTCCTCCTCCGCCTCCCCCTCCGCCTCCTCTCCCCCCTCCGCCTCCGCCTCCCCCTACCCCCCCTGGAAAAGCAGCCCCATGAATCATGAGTGAGTGTGACTGTGAGTGTGGATGGGCAGCGGCGAGGGAGAGGGATAAGGGGGCGGACAGGTTGGGAGCGCCACTGGCGAATGCAAAGCGAGAGTGGGGGGGTTCTGAAGGCGCGTCGTATATGGACACAGTGCGCTGAGGTGGCACGCCACAGACTGGACACGTGGCAACAAAATTGGTGCACACCTGGCACAGCACGGCATGGTGGCAAGGCTGCTCACAGAAAACCGAAAAGAGGAGGGAGTGAAAAGAGTGAAGTGAGAGACGACAAGAGCCCACCAATGGCTGCTTGTTTATGAAACAATCCAACCAAACAGGATGATAGCAAGCAGCTCGTGTAAGCAAATGGGAAGAAAAAACGCACCAGAGGCACCAGAAGCAGAAAAGGTAGGGCTCAAATGGACGTACCAGAAGCTTGAAGGCAACAGGCAGCTCATGGCACACCACACAGCAAAGCCCCCCACTCAACGCCCCTGTCGCTGCAGCACCAGCAGCAGTGCTGCTGCCCGATCCACTGCTGCCATTCGTACTCGGGCTGTTATTCTTGCTGCTGCTGCCACTGCCCCCAGAACCCACACTACTGCCCGCACTCCCACTCCCAATTCCACTGCTGCTGCTACTGCCACCAATACCGCCACCACCACCCACGCCGCTGCTGCTGCTACCGCTGCTGCTGCTGCCAGGCAGCCCTGCAAACGGCCTGAGACCTCCAGCTGCTGCAGCTGCTGCAGCTGCCACCGCTGCCGCTGCTGCCGCGGCTGCTGCTCCCCCGGGTGCTGCTGCTGCTCCTGCTGCTGCTCGAGGGCAGGTGGGAGCATGGGCGAGGGGTTGACCTGCCTGTGCTGCTCCAGACCACACAGAGGAGGGGCGGCAGGGGCAGTTTAGCTGTGCTGCTGACCCGTCAAGGAAAGATGGGTTGACTGGGAGAGAAAGAGGTGGGGCAGAAGAGGTGGCGGGCGTTGCTGCTGCAAAAAGTGTAAACGAGAGGGAGAGCGGAATAGGGAGAGTGGGGGAAGTGGGAAAGCGGGAGGGGAAGGCAGGGGGGACGGAATGGGGTAAATAAAAACTTGAGTTCGGAAGAAAGAGCAAACTAAGCAGCTCGTGCAATCCCCAGACAGAACGAACGAAACCAGAAGGAAGCTGTGATCTTCGTGACACAAGTGCTGACCCAGGCACAAGTGCTTACCTGACATGATGCTTTCAAGGGACAGGTGCCTGTTTTGGAACGGAGCAACACTATGAAGCGCCCTGCCTGCAGCATTGCCAGCAGCCATGCTTGGCACAGGTGGCGGCATGGAGAGGCCCAAAGGTGGGTGGGCGGAGGGATGGGACGGGTGGGACGGAGGCATGGGGAACTGGTGCAGGTGATGGTGGTGGGGGATGTCGTTCCTCCCACCGGCGTGGTTTGGAAGAGGTGAGACGCGCTGCTGCTGCTGCTGCAGCTGCTGCTGCTGGTGTTGATGCTGTTGGTGCTGTAGCTGCTGCAATTGCTGTTGCTGCTGGTGCTGCTGCTGCTGGTGCTGCTGCTGCTGCTGTTGCTCCAGCCAGTTCTCCAACAATTCTTGCTCAAGCATGCTGCGTGCCCACTGCCCCATTTGCCCACCGCCCCCACCACCACTGCCACCGCCACCACCACCGCCACCACCACTGCTAGCCGATGCAGCAGCAGCAGCATTCGAATCCCCTCCACCCATCCGCTGCTCAATAGCCTTCCTTACTTTCTCCCTCATAGCCTCCCTCACAGCAACCGCCTGCAAGTCCTCCTCTCCCTGGCCCCTCCCTCCTTCCCTAAATCCCCTCGCCTCCTCTTCACCCCCCAACCGGCCCAGGTCATCCCACCTCCCTCTCCCTCCGCCTGGAATACCGAATCCCACCCCCCCGCCCATCCCCTGCTCCATGCTATTCCCCGCCCCCATGCTAGACCCGACCACCCCCCCTGCCACCGGCCCCATTTGCCCCATAGTCGCCCCACCCATTCCACCCATGCCTCCCCCACTCCCCATGCCCATGCCCATGCCCGTGCCCAGGCCCATACCCGTGCCCATGCCAAAGCTGTTGCTCACTGAACCTTCCCGAAACGCCTCCGCCTCTCCTCTCAGCCTCAGGCTCTGCCAGATCTGTTGCTGCTGATTCAACTGCTGCTGCTGCTGTTGCTGCTGCTGCTGCTGGTGGTGATGAAGTTGCTCCTGCTGCTGCCGCTCTGCTTGCAGCTTCTGCTGCTGCAGCTGCCACAGCAGGAACAACGTCCTCTCCTCCAGCCGCTCGTAGTACATCTGCTGCTTCAGCTCCATCAAAGCCGCCTCTTCAACTCCCATCCCTCCTCCCCCCATCGGCCCACGCCGGCCCATCATTCGCCCCTCCATCACACTCGCCAGCAGCTGCGCCCGCATATCAGCTCCCTCAATTCCTCTCCCCCCTCCCCCTCCTCTGCCCATGCCCATCCCCATCCCCCCTCCGCCGCCACCACCCTCTGGGGGACTCCGAGAAGCCCCACCTCCGCCTCCCCCGCCCCCGCCGCCCCCAGGCATGCCCCTATTCTGCAGCGCCTTTCTCGGCGGCGGCTGGTACTGGAAATCCACCCCATCTATCCTATGCTCCCTCAGAACAAACTGCCCCTCCCTCTTCCGTTCACAGAGCTCTTTATACTTATCAACCGCGTCATGGATCAGATTAATCACCCTTTCCACCTTCTCCTTCTTCCCCTGGATCCTGAATCGTCGGATCTCCTCTCCCTCCATCCCATCAATCCCGCTCGCGCCCTCAGTCCACGACTGCACGATCGCGCCCGTAACGTGCCCGATCTGCCGCGCAGCAGCCCCAGACGACCCGATCACAAACCCCGCAGCCAGCAGCGTCACCCACACGTACGCCTCCCGCCCGTCCTCGGACCGTTCGACCTTGAGCACGCGGTGATCCTCCGTGTACATAGGCTCCAGATCCACAGACCCATCGCTCCGTGGGCCGCGCGCCATGCGCCGCCTGTTCTCTGGCTGCCCCGGCGCTGCTGCTGCTCTGCCCCCAGGACCCTGCGCCTGTGCCGCCTCCTGCTGCGGCTGGTCCAGCAGGGACTGAGATCCTGCTTCCTGAGCCTGCTGCCACTGATGCTGCGACGACAGCGGAGGCTGCTGCTGCTGCTGCTGTCGCTGCAGCTGCTGCTCCGTCGCCTGCTGCCGCAGAAAGCCTGCGGCTGGTGAGCTCACGTCAGATCCAATTAAGGAAGAAAGCCGCGACCCTGACCGCTCTGCAGCAGCCGCAGCAGCAGCAACAGCAGCCGCGGCACCAGACGTGGAAACAGTGGAAGAAAACGAGGAAGAAGATGCGAAACCGGAGTCTGATGTTCTGCCACCATACGCACTAGGCTTGTCCAGCCTGCCAGGCCAGCCAAACACGTCAGCCCCTGTAGAAAACCCACGTGCCAAGCCTCCCGCACCTCCGCCAGCACCATCCATGGTGCTACCACCACCAGCTCTAGAGCCACCAAAACCTGCCTCTCCTTCCAAGAATCGCCGCGCACCTTCCATCCTCCCACCTTCCAACCGCCCACCTTCAAACCGGCCGTCGCTAGTGCCGACCGTCTCGTTATGTAGCCCGCTAAGCCATGGCTCCCCAAACTCCCCCCTGCTTGCGCCATGTCCTCCGCGCACGTCACTTCCCCCTAGCTCCAATCCGCTTCCAAACCCCCCCAGATTGCCCGCAAAAGCAGCCCCGAACCCGACGCTCTCGGTTACAGCATGCGGCACGGCATAGGCAGGTCCCTCAGACATAGGCGGAGAGCGGGTTTGAAAGTGGGCGAGGGAAGAAGCGTGCGAGGACGGGGAATCCGCGGCGGCGCGTTGGGCGAAACGAGATCTGAGATCCGATCCCAGATCTTGTTGCTCCAGCTGCCACGTCACCGCTTGCTCCACGTCCTGTGCGCCAGCGGCCTGTGCTTGACACGCATGGGACAAGAACGGACAAACAGGAGAGAGAGGAGAACCAGGTTATAATCCAAAGGATCAACATAACCGCTCCAAGGAAACACCAACGCGGATCTGAAAACAGCAAGTCACTGCAGAGACCCACGAACGGGAAGAGAGAAAGGAGTACGACAGCCGGGGAGACACGATCAGCAGCAGCAACATCCTTAACAAGGCCGGAACATATCCACCGTACCTGCGCGTGAGCCTGAGCGGTCATGGCGTAACCAGGATGCGTGGACGCACCGCCTCTTCCTCGTAGCATCTCCAGCTCTCTATCACGCGACCCTTCCACTCCTGTCTCACCACCCAACCCATAACCGGCGCCTGGTGGAAATCGCCCCACGCCGCCAACGCCGCTGTTCAACGCCGCCGTCTTACCGACTGGTACCGATCCGTCTCTCGCCTCATCAGGTGGTATCGACAAACTAGAGTTAAAGTCTCGTACCATCTGCCACTGTCGGTCACTGCCACGCTCCTCCGAGCCTTGCATCCGCGCTGCTGCTGCGCCTGCCGCTGCTGAAGCAGCTGCGACGGCGACAGAAGCCGTCGTAGTTCGGTCAGATCCGGTTTCCGCCGGCGACGACACCGGCGACGCGGACGACGTGGACGCCAGGGTGGACGACTGAGCTACTTTCGCAGGTTCCGGCTTGGCGACGTCGCAATTGCTGGGCGCACTCGCCTGCGTCTGCCCTTGGTTACTGCTGCCGCCACCACAAGGAGAGCCACCTCCACCCAGCATGAATACGGTGCAAGATTCTGCCAATTCCGGCGCCACGGTGCTGCTTTTCGCCAAGGTACGTAGCTCTTGCTGCTGCTGCTGCTGCCTCGACGTCGAGATCACGGTGGCTGGAGAACCCAAGTCCAATTCGCCACAAGCAGCGCTCGACGCATCGACCCCACCGGCTGACGAGCTGCTGCTGTTGCTGCTGCGAACGCTTCCGGCGCTATTACGTGTGGCGCTTGTGCTGCCGCCGGCGATACTGCTACAACTGGCGTAACTATCACTTTGACTACTATTCCCTGAGCAAACTCAGCCACGACGGTTCCCAACAAAGAGGCGCTCTTGGCGCGTGACGAGAATTGATCCGCGGCGCGCGACGGGCCCGTCGTCGATCCAGAGGCGGCGGCAGCGGCAGCGGCGCAGGCTACTATCCTGGCGGTGGCGCCGGCGGCTTCACGCGGAGCTACGTGGAGCAGCGAGCTTGCCATGCCTCGGCAGAACGCTGCGAGGTAACATCGTCCGCGCTGATTACTCTACAAGTAGTGGAAAGACCGGGGACACGGCGCGAGCAGACACGACCGTTGAATGAAAGCTCCTGCGACTTTTAATTTCTCTACTGGATCAAGAGCAAGGAAACTGCGTGGTGTACGGCCGAGGGAGAAGCGACGCGAGGGGAATAAGGAGGGTGAAGAACGGGTAAGCGACAAGGTGCTGTAAAAGGTTCAGATCAGGAAAGATAGAGGTGGTGCGAGGGAAAGAGCGTCTTTTCCTGTGAGTCGATCGTTGGACAGAAGCGAGGAAATTGCGGATCTCGGACCTAGACGCACGACGGGATGCGAGGTGCATCCATCAGGCGACGGAGTCCGACGGCGACGGGGCTACGATCAGAATTTGAGCGAGATTGGTCGACGACGTGTCGGTCGCAATTGATTCGTTAACAATTCTGACAGCAGCTTCTCCGTCGTGTGATAGCAATCAGTTAATGAGGATCGTGATGGATGGGACGTCAGCCGTGCAGGTTCTTTGAGTAAGACGTTAGAATCGTGGACCCGATTACTAAGCGGAGTGAGTCTACTGGAGTCTGATGGGACGCTAAAACAGGGTCGCGCAAACAGCGGGACAGTCGGGTCGATGGATAGTCGCAGGCTGAGCGAACAGATCGGAGTTAAGCTTGATGGGAATTTTGAGCGCGGGAGGGACGAGAAGTAGCAGAAAGAAAAGTGATTCGAGTCGACGGGGGAGCAAGGATGTTTTGACGGTGCCTACACAAGGTGGGGGTTCAATGAACCGAGCGAAGTTCTGACTGCTAGCAGAGGAGATGCAGGGCGGGTGTAGAGTACGAGCCTTGGGATGGGCGGAGGGATGTATGACAGCAGAGTGACGAGGCGAGGTGGCGAAAGTTGAGAGGCCCTTGGAAATTTAACAGGGCACATTGCGCCAACACCACCCAACCGAACCAACCTCGATGCTTTTCGTTCATCATCATCACCTGCGCACCAAGGATCATGTCTTGAACCGCCAGTGGAGCAGAGCTGGGCCCCTGCCTGCTTGCCCGTGCTGTGCCATGGTGCCATCCAAGCCATGTCATGATGTCATGCCATGCCAGCAGCAGCACCACCCCAACTTCCTCCCTCCCTTGTTCTGATGGGCTAAACCAACTAGTCGCGTCTCATCTCATACACTCCCGCTTCCGTCGGATCAGAGGGGTGATGATGAACTCGAGGGGATGAATCACCGCTGTCGTGCAGCACAAGGCTCCTCCCGCCCGTCTACACCTCAACCCCGCCTCCTCCCAACCAGAGCCTCATATTTTGCCTTGAAACCGCTAACCGCCCCCTACAGAAGTTGCTGCGACTCGTCATCATAAAAGTGGCGCGAAAACAGAGCGACCTGAGTAAACGACGTGGGAGAATCCACACCGTCCAATATCCAGATTCGAGGGTCGACGGCACTCCCCTTGCCTGTCTGAACAACAGTGCAAGGGGGGATCTTTTCGCCTTGGCACTTCATCAGCCAGGGGTGTACAGTGCCCGCTTTCATGCTCTTCTCATGAAGCTTCCACGTCACGTCTCGTGAAAAGGGTTTCGAAGCATCGAGCCCGCCGCCGCACGGCAATGCTCAACCTTGGGATGGGTATCAACCCTGAAGTGAACGGCTCATACAGTACACTAGCATTCTCACACCAACCCCCTAGAGCCAGCAGTGTGCTGATTCCCACCAGCGATGAGCCAGCACGATTTTAGTGGTGTGGTCCCATGGACAAGGTGGAAGTTCAACGTCCTGTATTTTCGCGAAACCCATTGTCAACGCATCTCTGGTACACTACAGTATTTTGAAGGCGTTTCGAGTCCGAACCGTGACACACTCCAAACCAAAACCTCAAGAACTCGCGTGCCAGAGTGGCAGACAGGACGCCCACGGAGGCGAAGACTTGTCTGATGCGGAAACGGCCACCAAGGCGTAGAGCCAACAAACCTTCTTGTCGGCGCCTCGATAAAAGAATCTTTCTGACCGGAACATTTGGCGGAACAACGGAGTGGCCATATCTAGTTTTCTTCCGAATACGCCTCTGTAGGCTTTGTTAGTTGAAATAATATTAGCAAACCAACCATATTATCACCTGCATGTCCCACCGATCATGGTGAGGATTGGGAAAGATAACAAAATTGCTCCAGCATGAACCACTGAAGTGAACAAGCCACAAACTCTTGTTGATGGTCTAGTGTGTCACACTGTTGTGAATAACAGAGGTGTTCAGAGGAAGGGAAGGAGAATAGACATAACCCACAAAGCACAATGCTTACCACAGCACACTTTCTTATGCATAAAATGATGTTTAACAAGCCTCAAGCCAAGCTGAATATGGGCACGGCAGAGAGAATGTACAAAAAGAACATGACAGGAAGCGCAATGCTATCAATTCGACTGGCGAGCCGATAAGCAGCTGCTGCATTCTTTCCCAAGTATTGCTTGTGTGACCTGATGCTTTTGACCGAGCTGGTGACGGCACGGCGGAGAGAAGGAGCTGCTTTCAGCAATGGCTGAGCGAACCGGAACGAGGAGAAGGGCGAGGAGAGGGACAGGGAGAATTGTCGGAAGCTGCTGCCACTGCTGCTGCCGGCTTTGATGTTGTCTTTGTTGCCAGTGCCGCCGCCGCTGTTTCTGCTCATGTCTACCTTGCAGTTACTAGGATTATGGGGCAGGTGGTTGTTAGGGGCTGGAAGTGAGAGTGGTGAAGGCCGTTGGTGTGGCTGGCTCACCTGGCAAAGGGTAAGAAAGGGCAGGTCAAGCACAAGGAGAAGTAAAGAACGATAAAAAAAAACTCAGTCACGCGTGTGTGCAGACACATGTTTAAATCGGGAAAGGAGGAAAAAAAAAGGAAGGATAAGAAAAAGGAAATTAAAAAAACGAAATATAATAGAAAATCAGATGGGGTTTTGAAACCGAAGGAAGGGCATACCATCTCAATCCCCCCTTGGGTACCAGGAGCCCCAGCGCCAGCAAGTGCTCCAGCTGCACTCCCAGCCCCAGCCACAGCAACTCCTGTATAAAAGTCCCTGGCCGTGGTGACACCCGCGCTGGCACCGCCGCCTCCTCCCACCCTCCCATCCACCCCCGTTTCTCCGTCGTCCTCCGCTCCCTCTCTCCGCATCGACCCGCACGCCGACCCGACTGTCCAGAGCGCTGCTGCTTTGCTGGCAGCGCGTGCTCTTGCGCCCTCATCTACCACCTGAGCCATTGGATCCTCTCCGTCTATGCCGTCCTCGCTGTCGCCGTCTGATTCGTTCCCGCTGCTGCAGTTGCTGCCGCAGTTGTTGCTGCAGCCGTTGCGGCCAGTGCGGCCAGTGCCGCCAGTGTTGCCTGCAGTGGTAGCGCGCGGTTCTGTATGGAAGTAATCAGCTGGAGGGGCCGATGGCGTGTGAGAAGAAATGGCCGCAGCGAGCGCAGCAGACGAAGCAGGAGTGGGAGCACTCAGCACAGCGCCCGCAGCAGCAGCAGGAGTAGGAGCATCAGAAAGACAGCATTCGCATCTGTCGTCCATTCCAGAGGCAGCAGGATCTAGGAGACCAAGGGAGGAGGAAGCTCGGCTTTGAGTTGACGGTGTGTTGCAGCAGCCGCCACCGCAGCACAGCGACACGCCCATTGAGGCACCAGCAGCACCAGCAGCAGCAGCAGCAGCAGCAGCAGCACCAGCACCACCAGTAGACATGCGGTTGGAGTGGCGCGGGGCAAAGCGGGATGAGGAGCAGGCGGAGGAGGAGGTTCGGGCGGCGCGGAGCGAGCGTGAGGAGGAGGAGGCTCGGGGACCGGAGCGGTGGTGCGGGTGGGAGAAACCGTAGCTGAAATCACTCAGGCGCTGACTGCTGCCACTGTTGCTACCATACTTCTGGTAAGCATTAGCATCATCATCGTAATCATCGCAATCGTCGCAATCGTCGCCGTCGTCGTTTCCGTAGGCCCTGTGCTTGTTGTGCCTGCAGCTGCGCCGGCTTAGGGACCCACCACCCCTTGTACCAGCCTCATTATCATCATCGTCGTCGCCGTCTGCGTTGTCGTGTGCATGAGGCAGCTTGCCCTGCAGGAAACGAACCTCCTCCTGATGGGGTGGAAGGGAGGGAGGGAGAGAGAAAGAGGGGAGAAGGGGAAGAGGAGGGGCGAGAGAAAGAGTTGTGAGGGAAAGCAAAAGCAAGAGCAGGAGTTGCGTTGAAGGTGTGACGGAAATGCTCAGGGTGTAGAGGGAAGCAGGTATAGGAAATACTTGGTATAGCATGCCAATGTTGACATAGCATGACATGGCGGGGCATGGGAAGGCACGGGATGGCTTCAAATGGGATGCGATTGGATGGGATGGCATGTGATGGAATGAAATGAAATGGAATGGAGTGGCAGTGAGTGGCAAGGAGCGGGAGGGGAGGTACGGTACGGTACCATGGAGGTGAGGTAGAAGACGAGGAGGCACTCTAGGATGACGAGCACAATGGTGGCGTATGAGACCAGCACCAGCTGCCCAAACGCCGTCACGTACGATGTCTTGGGTAGCTGCGATTGGGGTGGGAGGGGCACAGCATGGGGCAAGAAGAGGGAAGGGCAAGACGAGGAGGCATTCGAGGATGACGAGCACGATGGTGGCGTATGATACCAGCACCAGCTGCCCAAACGCAGTCACATACGATGTCTTGGGTAGCTGTGAGTGGGACAGACACATGGGGCACATCGTAGGGCACAGCGTAGGGCACAGCATGGAACAAGAAGAGGGAAGAGGTGCGAAAATGACAAGGGTCAGAGTCAAGTCAAGTCTCCAGATTCTTTCCTAAGGCCTCTAATCTTGTCAAATTTTCACAATTTTCACCAGTTTTCTCCTATTTTCTCCTACTTTCCCCAGTCCTCCCCAATCCTTCCCTATCGCCCGCAATACTCCCCAATTGTCTCCAAGTGAAGATACGAGCCAAATATGAGCCAAGTGGAGCTGTTGTGAGCCGTTTCACCAGAAGCACAGCGCACCACTGACACACCCACCCGCCCACCCACCCACCCACTCACCCGCCCACCCATTCACTCGCCCACCCACCCACCCACCCGCCCACCCATTCACTCGCCCACCCACCCACCCACCCGCCCACCCATTCACTCGCCCACCCACCCACCCACCCGCCCACCCATTCACTCGCCCACCCACCCACCCACCCGCCCACCCATTCACTCGCCCACCCACCCACCCACCCGCCCACCCATTCACTCGCCCACCCACCCACCCACCCACCCACCCGCCCACCCATTCACTCGCCCACCCACCCACCCACCCACCCACCCATTCACTCGCCCACCCACCCACCCACCCGCCCACCCATTCACTCGCCCACCCACCCACCCACCCGCCCACCCATTCACTCGCCCACCCACCCACCCACCCGCCCACCCATTCACTCGCCCACCCACCCACCCACCCGCCCACCCATTCACTCGCCCACCCACCCACACACACACCTCCCCCAACCCCCCGGCCGCCCACCTGCTCCTCGATGACAAACTGCACGGCGATGAGTGCGAGGAAGAGCGTGACGGTGGTGCTGACGCGTATGTCCAGCTGCGTGGGCGTGGCGAAGAACACCGCAAACGCCAGACACACCGTTATCATCGTGGGGAAGATGATCTGAATGAGGGGGGAGGGGGAGGGGAGTGGGGGGGGGGTTGATCAGGGGAAAAGGAAGGGGGGAAAGGGAAAGGGGGGAGAGTTGTGGGGTGGGGGGGAGGAGAGAGGAAACGCCAGACACACCGTTATCATCGTGGGGAAGATGATCTGCTTGTGGGGGGTGGTCGAAAGAGGAAGGACCAGGAAGGGGGAAAATGGGGGCGAAGGAAGGGGGACAGGGAGAAGCGGGGAAGGTTGGAAGGGTAAGGGAAAAGGGGCAAAGGGGAGGTCACACGAATAGTCACTCACTGTACCCCTTCTCTTACGGTGCTCATGGCGAAGCGAGCCTGCCCTTGCATGCCCATGCCACAGCCAGCCCCATCAGCACCCCATCAGCACCCCATCAGCACCCCATCAGGACCCCATCAGCACCCCATCAGCACCCCATCAGCACCCCATCAGCACCCCATCAGGACCCCACACACCACCCACCCACCCATCCACGTGCCCGCACACGCACCGTCCAGAGGTAGTAGTAGCTGTATCGCTCCACATGGATAGTGAGCGTGCATGTCGATGCATACATGCCGCCCACGCCCATGCCCATGTCCTCGCCCAGCCCCACCACGCCCCCCACCTCCGACCCCCCCACCCCCGGAGCAGCTGTAGACGCAAAGGGGGAATCCGCAGCCGCTGGCCCCCCCACTAGCGCCTGGTCTCCCCCCTGCCCCCCTTGCTGCTGCGGTGGTTGTTTCGATGCTTCCCCCCCCCCCTTGGCTGACCGCGCTGCGTCCGCTATGCCGCTCACGGGGTCGACTGCGCGTTGGGGGGGACACGGAGGGGAGGGGAGGGGATGAGTCAAAAACGTGTCTTGAGTCGAATCAAAACTTGGGTGATCATGCCTTGAAGAGCCGACCGACCACGCTGCGTCTGCTATGCCGCTCACAGGGTCGACTGCACATTCAGGGGGGAGGGGAGGGGAGGGGAGGACGGGGTTAGAGGGGGAGAGAAAGGGGAATGTTTTTTAAGGCGCCTGGAAACTGCTGCTGCGGTGGTGGCTTGGCTTCGATGCTCCCCCCCTTTGGCTGACCGCGCTGCGTCCGCTATGCCGCTCACAGGGTCGACTGTGCGTTGGGGGGGACGGGGAGGGGAGGGATTAGCAGAGAGGGAACGGGGGAAGGGGAGAGGTTGTGAGGAGGGATGGTGAGGAGGGAGAGTGGGGAGGGATTGTGAGGAGAGCAAGGGAATCGGGAGAGAGGATTTGGGAGGGCTGATGAGGAGGGGAGCGATTTTGAGAATCTCAAAATCAACCTCAAACAAATTTCTCAAAATCAACCTCAAACAAATGTGAGGAGAGGAAGGGAATCGGGAGAGAGGTTTTGGGAGGGCTGATGAGGAGGGGGGCGAGAGACAGACGCGAGGAACAGGAGAGGGAGGAAGGGAAAAGGGGGAAGAGGAAAGGGGGAAGAGGAAAGGGGGAAGAGGAAAGGGGGAAGAGGAACGGGGGAAGAGGAACGGGGGAAGAGGAAAGGGGGAAGAGGAAAGGGGGAAGAGGAAACGGGGAAGAGGAAAGGGGGAAGAGGAACGGGGGAAGAGGAAACGGGGGAAGAGGAAAGGGGGAAGAGGAAACGGGGAAGAGGAAAGGGGGAAGAGGAACGGGGGAAGAGGAAAGGGGGAAGAGGAAAGGGGGAAGAGGAAAGGGGGAAGAGGAACGGGGGAAGAGGAAAGGGGGAAGAGGAAAGGGGGAAGAGGAACGGGGGAAGAGGAACGGGGGAAGAGGAACGGGGGAAGAGGAACGGGGGAAGAGGAAAGGGGGAAGAGGAAAGGGGGAAGAGGAAAGGGGGAAGAGGAACGGGGGAAGAGGAACGGGGGAAGAGGAACTCGTGGATTGAAGGAGCTCTGAGGCAAGGCACAGAGATGAGCGGAGGTGGGCGGGGCAGGGAGGAGGGGCAGGGAGGAAGGAGAACGGCAGGGAAGGGAAAGGTGGGGAGGAGAGGGCGAGGCATGGAGCGTGGTGAGAGCAGGCACGCACGCACATGGGTTGAAGTTCTGCAGGCGGCTCGACTTCCCCATATCCCCACCGTCACTGCTCCATCCACCACTGCTGCTGCCACCATCTCCCCCTCCTCCTCCTCCCTCTCCTGCAGAACCACCAGCGGCGCTATCAACACTCGCCCCCCCAGCAGCAGCAGCAGCAGCAGCGTCTGTTGCTGCGGCTCCTCCAGTAGTGGCAACAGTGGCGGCGGCAGCAGCAGCAGCAGAAACGCTCGCCTTTGCTGCTGCAGACGCAGCAGCAGAGCTGCTAGCAGCAACACTACCGTTGCTGCTGGCACCACCACCACCACCACTACTACCACCACTGCCACTACCGCCGCCACTGCCAGTGCCGCTGTCGCCGCTGCGGGTGCGATTGAGAACCCCGTCGCCCGTGCAGCTGAGCTCCACCTTGGTGGTATACCACCCGGTGACCTCGTCACTGGTGTACGCTCCAGGCCCACCGTCGCCCCCCGTGGCAACCATGGCTAGCGCGCTGGCGCCCTCGCGAGCCACGAGTGATGAGACGAGGTAGTAGCAGGAGCGCGCTGCCTGGGGTGAATCCATGGCTGCTGGCGAGATTGAGAGCGTGAGCGACTGATGAGGTGGAGGAGGAGGGGGAAGGAGAGATGGAGAGGGAGATGCAAAGGTGAGAAAAAAGGAGAGGGATTGGGCGGCTTAAGAACGTGAGAGTCCATTTTTCTGAAGGGGTGACTGAGAGGGTGAGCACGTGGTGAAGGGGGAGGAGGGAGAGGAAGAGGGAGCGGAAGAGGGAAACTTTAGAGATCTCTCAACAGCGGGCATGGCGTGAGACAGAACGAGCATAGGGAAGGGCGGAAGAGCAGGTAGGAGAGGGAAAGGCGGGAATGGAAACGACGGGGAAAGAAGCATTGTGTTGGGGTGGTGGGCGGAGGACAAGTGGGGTCGTGGCGGTGGTGGTGGTGGTGCTTGTGGTGGTGCTTGCGGTGGTGCTTGCGGTGGTGCTTGTGGTGGTGCTTGTGGTGGTGCTTGCGGTGGTGCTTGCGGTGGTGCTTGTGGTGGTGCTTGTGGTGGTGCTTGTGGTGGTGCTTGTGGTGGTGCTTGCGGTGGTGCTTGCGGTGGTGCTTGTGGTGGTGCTTGTGGTGGTGCTTGTGGTGGTGCTTGCGGTGGTGCTTGTGGTGGTGCTTGCGGTGGTGCTTGCGGTGGTGCTTGTGGTGGTGCTTGTGGTGGTGCTTGTGGTGGTGCTTGCGGTGGTGCTTGTGGTGGTGCTTGCGGTGGTGCTTGTGGTGGTGCTTGTGGTGGTGCTTGTGGTGGTGCTTGCCTGCTTGTCGAAGGGGAAGCGTTTAAAGTTGAAGGCGGTTGAAAACGTGCCTGGGAGGGGAAGGAAGAGAAGGGGCGGAGTGAAGGGGAAGAGGAGGAACGAAAAGGGGGATGAGAGGGAGGGGAGATAGAGGAACCGAGGTGGAAAGGCCACAAGAGGTGAGGGAAGAGTGGGATGATAGGGGGGAGGGAGGGTGAGGGAGAAACGGACAGGACAGGACAGGACAGGACAGGACAGGGCAGGGCAGGGCAGGGCAGGGCAGGGCAGGGCAGGGCAGGGCAGGGCAGGGCAGGGCAGGGCAGGGCAGGGCAGGGCAGGGCAGGGCAGGGCAGGGCAGGGCAGGGCAGGGCAGGGCAGGGCAGGGCAGGGCAGGGCAGGGCAGGGCAGGGCAGGGCAGGGCAGGGCAGGGCAGGGCAGGACAGGACAGGACAGGATAGGACAGGACACTGCCGCACTGCATATGGAGACGCCTTAAGCGGAAGAGACGAGCGGTCATTGTGCACAGAACAGACAGGGGGTGAATGAATCAATCGCCCGCTGCTGCGGCAACATCTGAAGCACACTGGTTGCTGTGAGATGTGCTGCTTGCCATGCCATACCACAGCTCCTTGCAACGTCTCTCTCAAGTATCCATCCACCCGGTGCTCCCTGTGTGCCCGTGTGTGCGTGCGTGCTCTCATCTCATCTCACTCACCCTGCAGGCGGACCTGGCGGCCCACGATGGTGGGACTGGTGAGAGGCGCGAACTGCTGAATCTCGTCTGCGTGGACGCGTGGGGGGGCAAGGAGGCATGGAGGCATGGGGGCATGGGGGTGTGGGCGCATGGGGGCATGGGGGCATGGGCCCATGGGGGCATGGGGGCATGGGGGTGTGGGCGCATGGGGGCATGGGGGCATGGGCCCATGGGGGCATGGGGGCAATGGCGAGAAGCAACGGAGCGTGAGCGACGAAGGCCAGAACGGGAAATAAAGGGGTACGTACGTGCACGCGCGCGCGCGTGTGTGTGTGTGTGTGTGTGTGTGTGTGTGTGTGTGTGTGTGCATGTGCGTGCATGTGCGTGCATGTGCGTGCATGTGTGTGCATGTGCGTGCATGTGCGTGCATGTGCGTGCATGTGCGTGCATGTGCGTGCATGTGCGTGCATGTGCGTGCATGTGCGTGCATGTGCGTGCATGTGCGTGCATGTGCGTGCATGTGCGTGCATGTGCGTGCGTGTGTAGCGCACCGGTGAGTACGCATTCACGTTGGGCACGTGGAAGGACGGCAGCCACACGGCATCACAGCACAGCTCCGACCCCGGCGCACACCGCTTGCTGCACGGGGGTGCCACGGGCTGAAAGCACACGCACACACACACCAAGGGAGGGGGGAGAACAACAAACTTGACAGGTGCAGGCACGTATTAACACCTTGACAGGCACCTCCTTGGTGCTCTGTTGGTCACGTCACATCACAGCATAGCCCCGACCCGGCGCACACCGCTTGCTGCACGGTGGTGCCACCGGCTGGGGCACACACGTGCACACACGCACACCAAGTGGCAGGGAGGGCAAGAGGTGTTATACACATAAGCTGTAGCCTGCAGCAGGCACGTATTGACACCACGACAGGCACCCACTTGGTCCTCTGTGCGTCACAGCACAGCACAGCTCTGGCACTGGCGCACACCGCTTGCTGCACGGAGGGACCACGGGCTGGGGCATGCGAGATGACCTTTGAGTCGACTCAACAGTCACCACGGGCTGGGGCATGCGCGGCAACAGGGAGGGAGGGGGGGGGGGCAGAGGAGGGAGCAGAAGAGCAAGAGGACCCAGTGGGGGTAGGAATCCAGCGGGGTGGAGGGGACAGGAGGGCGGGGGAGTGAGGAACGAGAAAAGGCAAGGGAAGTAGAGACGTAGGGAAGGGAGGGGAGGGAGCAGTGAGGAGAGGAGGGTGGGGGGAGAAACGGAGGGCGTTGGTGGGGGAGTGGAGCAAGTGAGGAGGGTAAGCGGGGGTGAAGGAACGCGGGCTTGAGGATAAGAGGGAGCGCGGGACGGAGGGAGGGAGGGAGGGAGCGAGGAGCGAGGAGCGAGGGAGGGTAGAGCGGGGCGTAGGTAGAGCAGAGCAAGGTACCTTGGTGACGGCGCTTTCACACAGCTCAGCGACAGCAGAGGCGTTCAGATCGTGAGGACCACCACCCGGCGCATGATCCCACGCTCTGCCCTGCCCTGGCCCGCTGCTGTTGACAGGCTGCCCGCTGCCGTTGAGAGGCGGCCTGCTGCCGTTCCCAGCGCCTGCTGTGCCGTTGGCAGCACCAGCAGCAGCACCTGCACCGGGAGCGCGTGCGGGTGCAGATGCAGGTGCAGGTGCTACAGCCAGAATTCGGGAAACACGGGCAGGAGTGGTGCTGGTAGCGGTGGTGGAATTGCTTGGGCTGCTGCTGTTGGTGGCGCTGCTGCTAGAGCCAGAGGCATTGGCAGCAGCAGCAGCACCAGGCGCAGCACCAGACGCAGGGCTAGACCCATCCGCTGATGGTGCTCCCGCCGCATTGCCCCCTCGCGGAATACCCTTCCCCAGCGCCCCGGGCGCCCCCTGCGACCCCTGCGCTTGGTCCCCTGCTGCGCCGTTCGGCCCCCCGCCCGCGTCTGCGCCCATGTTCCCCACGAGGCGGTCGGACTGCCGCGCGCACTCCGCCACGCGGTGCTGCTGCTCCGCTAGGCGCGCGTCGCGCACTCCGCGGATGGCGCGCCAGACGAGCGGCGCTGCAGGCGGAAAGCGGGGAGGGTGCGGGGTAGGGTGGGGGGAGGAAAAAATGGGGAAGGGAGGGGGAGGGGGAGGAGGAGAGTGGAGGAGAGTAAGGACACGGGGGAGATCTGAATGTCAGAGTGGGAAGAGGAAAGAAGGAAGATCGGAAGCAGACACGAAATGGAACTAAGGGGATGGCCGTGAAGGAATGGCTATTGGCATTGGCATGGCGGCATGGCGGCATGGCTGCATGGGGGCATTGCTGACCTCGCGAGTCGACCCAGGACATCATGAGCAGCACCACGGCGTCGAAGCTGTAGCTCTTCTCTGCCGCCACCGCAACACGGGCACGGGGAGAAATGAACAAGAAAGGCGCCACGCGGGGACGACCGGGGGAAGGAGGGGGGGACACAGCGGGAAAGGCGGAACAAAGGTTAGAGGGGGGGAAGATAGGAGCGGGAGGGGGAAAGCTAGGAGCGGGTGCGGGCGGGGGGTGGGGAAGCCCATAGGAGGGGGGACGAGAGCGCGGAGATGCGGATGCGTCGCGTATCTAAAGCGCTCGTCCGCAGCCTATGCAGCGCCTCTAGAACAACCAGCTTCACGGCGTTGAATGCGGAGCGCAATAAAAGCGCGCGGAGCGTAAGAAAAGCGGAAAGCGCGCGCACCGTCGACTTTGAGCAGCTTGTGCAGCACGGCGCTCATGAACACGGGCGTGCAGTTGCGCGACGCGCCCGCCGCCACGGGATCCACGCCCTGCCCCAGCAGCGGCGAGTCCTGCTGCGCGCGCGCCACCAGCACGCGCGACGCGCCCCGCGACCATCGCGACGGCGACAGCGACGGAGTTTGGAATGGCGATGGTGGTATCGACGGTGGGGGGAGAGCGGGAGTGTCGCAGAGGAGTAGGAGTAGGAGGAGGAGGGGGAGGCGGGTGAGGGGGAAGTGCGCGGGGTGGTGCTCGCCGCGGCGACATGCTCTGCCGTGAGCGGTTGGGCGCTGGCTCACCGTGGCAGTGGCCTGCGACGCGTGCGACAATGAGGCGTGCGACACAGAGGCGTGCGACAATGGGGAATGCGACGAGGGAAGCCGCGGTGAGGAATGCCAAGGCGTGGCTGCTGATCGTAATAATGTGATGGTGGCGGGTAGGTCTGTCGTTGTGAAGACAGACTCCCTGCGATTGTCGCCGAACGACACCAACGGCTCAGCTGCAGTCGCCGCTACTCTGTGTGTGTGTCGCCATCGCTCGCACAGGCTGTCGCATGACCCGTCGCATCTGTCGCATTGTCTGTCGCACCTGAACAGATTGTCCCATTCAACGACGTTGTCCATTGGGCTGCTGCTGCTGCAACCAGCACAATCCTGACTGCTGCGGGTATTTAGGAAGCCGCTATCGCTCATTCCCCAGCAGAAGAAATCCAAACCAATGCGCTGCTCTAATAATTATGTTCAGCTGCTCCTAGGACAAGCTAGAAGGATATAGTTCAGTTCCAATTAGCTCTGGCGAGGGCAACGCCATAGTGATGTGAATCAGGCAAGCTCGGCACTCCTCGGTCGTGGGAACGCCTGCACCATCCACTGCAACACTACCCAACCCAACCCAGCCCAAACCAAACCAACCCATCACAAACCAACCTCTACACAAGCCTACTCTCGACACAGAAAACGCCACTGCACCACAGTCTTGCTCCCTCCCAACCCCATCCCTCCTCCCGCCACCACACCAGCACATCTGCTCCGCTCGCCGCTACGCGCCAACTCTGTTCCGCTTCATTACGAGTTGCCCTTGTCTGGTCGGTTGGCACTGTACTGTACTGCTGTCATGGCTGGAAGGACGGGTAATCTCTCCCCCCACCCACCCATCCTCCCCAATCGCTACCCCCCACACCCCCTCTGCCCACCACCCCCACCCCCCCCACCCCCCTTCCGTTTTGCTTTCCGCCACCACGACAAAGATGCGAAGTTGTGGTTGAAATGACGAGAAACAACAACACAAACGAAGGGTGTTGGGAGGGAATGACGAGAAACAAAACTTGTTCTTTGCGACGCGTTTGCGAAAGAACGTTACCGGAACCCAACAGAGACACCTTCGCAGAAACAGCCGCATCGACGTGTCGCGAAGAAAATGGTTGGGCGGGCCAGTCAAAGGACCATTGATTCTGTCGCCCAACCAAACATGAAGGTTATCGATCGACGCTTCATCGAACTCCGACCCGAGTCGTTCTCGAATCTCGACCTTCACGTACGACGCCTTCTCGTCGCTGATTCGCTAATGGGTCCTCCCGATTTTTTTCGCTACCTGTCGGCGATGCAGCAAAGTCGGTTGGATTCGATGTGTTGGAGGAAAAACAACTCTGGCGCGAATGACGCTTGCATTTCGGTCGGTGGGTCAATCTTGACAGTCTAGGGGATCCAATTTTTTTTTATTGGCTCGCTGCTCTGACCTAGTCAGAGCTGTCAGCGGTTGAAATGAATGGATTTGGTTTTCCTGCACTTCTTCCTGTAGGACGCACTTTTATTTACAAAGAAGAATCTGAGTGCACCCGTGTTACCGAATTGAAACGGTATTTGCTGTTTAGTTACCTTCTACAATTGTTGACACGCAAAACCATAGTGGAGTCCAGTTAGGGCCCTGCCCTTGAGGCTAATGCACCGGGCGTTGTCTGTAAACACCAGTCCGGTCGTCTCATCATCAGTTGTATATGGGCACCATTGTATTTGGCATTCCTTTTTCCTCTTCCACCATCTCTACGAGCCCTACTTAAATCGTAGATGCTTTGGTAATCCCATAGAATCACCATTGATATGTAAAAGGGAGGAGACTCCAGAACAACTTCACTAATGCGAGGGCCAACCAGAGCAGAAGTGGCCTACTTGTACAGCATGCAACTAACACATTCGGACAACCATGTCCTACCAGCCATCTCACTTACGAACCTCCAAGAGACCGTCGAACCAGCCCATAGTAAAACCCCCCCGTAGCACCCGGAATCGCCAAGATCCCCTTTTCGCTTATCCTGTCCACATTCCTCGCAGCCTCCTCCCTCAACGCACCCACCACCCGCCCAAAAAACCCTTGCTGTGAATTCCTCTCCGCCATCTCACCGCCACTGCCACTTTCACCAGTGCTGCCGACCCACCCCTCCTCCGCGCCAGTGCTGCCACTCCTCTCCCCTACCCCCTTCCGCCCCCACAGACCTGCCTCCTCTGCCGTCGTCGCCCTCCGAGGCGACTGGCTGCCACTGCCCCCCTCCCAGCCCCCTTTCGCAGGCGTTGTCTCCATCACAAAGTCACCCGACGTCGCCCTCCTCCTGTCCATCCCAGCACCGCTGGGAGGAGGCTCATAAAGCTCAGACTGCACTAACTCCTCGTGCTGCCCAGGCTGCTTCTGGGGGGAAAGGTCCCACTGCATGCTCCCCCATCCTGCTGCTGCTGCCACTCCAGGCGAGTGTTCAGCGGAGAGGAAAGCGGAATAGCCTGGGTCTGATGCGAAAGCACGGCCGGTGGCTGAAGAGAGAGGTGATGGGGAGAGTTGATGAAGCGGGGTGCCAAGGGGCTGGGTCCACAGCCCTGGCGATGATGCCACGGATGGCCCAGAGGCGCTAGTACCAAGAGGAGAACCCTCACCCATGTCCATGCTAGCACTGCTACCTGCAGTGGACAGAGGGGAGCTCAACAGTAGTCCTGCTCCCCTGCCCGAACCTCCCAGCCACGACCCCGCCTTCCCAGAGGCAGTGGCAGCAGCGGCCGCAGCGGGAGAAGCAGGAGAGAAAACCTCAGGAGAGGCAGGCGAGGGCTCGATAATCTCTTCTATCTCAACCACGCTGGGCCTCCGGCTGTGCCGCCCGCTGCGTCTTGACGGCCGGCTGCGTGCCACGTCATCTATCCTCTTCTCTGCCCCGCCCTCCTTACCGCCCTCTGCCGCCTTGGCACTGAGTGCCTCCCATTTGGCACGGGTCGCCGCGACCGTATTACCACTGTTGCCATTGCTACCCTCCACGATGAACCCACCAGTACCTCTTGCTTCTGCTTCTGTTTCTGCTGCTGGCGCTGCCACCGTCGTCGCCGTCACGGTTGTCGAACTCGACTCACGCTCAGCAGGCCTCAGCTGAGTGTCAGTGGAGCAACTCGCAATATCCGCCGCCTCCCTCTCCCCGATCCACTTGTCAGACGCCTCAAAACTCTTCCCTGTTCCCTCTGTCTCGCCACGCTCCTCCCTATCACCTTGCCAGCCCCCCTCCCTCTTCCCCAGAGGACTCCCCCTGACTGCTCCCCCTGACTGCTCCCCTTGCGGCGCCAACACCCCCACCCCCCGGGACTGCACTGCCCCCCCCGCCTCGTCTTCCCCGCCAGGGGGAACCAAGGCAGCAGGGGCAGCAGGGGCAGCAGCAGCGTCAGTGGGGAGACTGGTAGCAGGGGCTGGGAACCGGCCTGGCTCTGACACCGCTGCGGTTGGAGGCGCTGGGCTGCTGCTAGTAGTAGTGCTGCCCGTGGTGTGGTTGAGAGTGCTGGGAGGAGGAGGAGTGCTGGTTCCTGTAGGCTCGTTCAGCAAGTCCTGTGACTGAGGTTGACTCAGAAACGTCGCAGGGGAATCGGAGCGCAAGTCGAGTCTCTGCTTTCCGCCCGTCAGTTTCCCCACCTCCTCTACATCTTCCGCCTTCCCCGCAGCCGCCGCGTTCCCCGCCTTCCCCGCATCCCCCACCTCCCCTGCCTTCCCCGCCTTCACCGCCTCCACCGCTGTCAGCCACACCCGCTCCCACTCCGCTGCGATCTCCCCCACTTGCGCCCCAACGGTCCCTCCACCCAGCGCCTTGCCCACCCGGCGAGGCGGCTCTGGCACAGCCTGTGCTGGTGCCGGTGCCGCAGCTGGTGCCAGTGCCGGTGTCGGTGCCGGTGCCTGTGCTGGAGCTGGTGTCGCAGCTTCACTGGCAGTGGAAACGGCGGCTGCGCCTTTCGTTGCGACAGTACGAAGCTCCTGCTCCTTGCGTTCGGCGAGAGCCGGTTTCATGGTGTTCCCACTGCTCTCCCCGCTCTCCCGCGATCGCAGCCACTCAAGAGCCGCCACGGGGCCGTCTCTCTTCATGCGCGCCTCGAGCGCGTCCAGGTCTTCCCCCAGCGCCAGCACGCGCACGTCCTGCACGCGCGCGTACCCGCGCAGGCGCTCGTGCTCCGCGCGCTGCTTCTCGTAGCGCGCGTGCAGCGCACGGTAGGAGCGGTGCGCCTGATCCAGCATCGACACCACCGGGCGCATGCGACTGCGGAAAGAAATCGCGGGGATGGGGGAAGGGAAGGGCACTTCCCCGCGGAAGTGGGAAGGGATTAATTCAGCGGACCTCGAGACAAGTTCAGTGAACACCGCGATACAGTGGCGGAAAGGAAGGGCAGAATGACGAAGGGGTGAGATTTTGAGGGGAAAAGAACGGGGAGAAGCAAGACAGAAGGCGACAATCACATGATTTTATTGGACGGCTTCTATAATTATAATTTCAACACTAGGTGTCTGAAATAGATCACTGCGGGACCGGATGTCTCAGATTACACAACAGCCCCAGACTGATGTCATTCCCGTGAGTGCAGCCCACCTCTCAATGATCGCATCTCCCTCGCGCCTCAGCGCTTCCTTCAACGCCATCACCGTCGTCTCCCCACCTCCCGATTCGTTCTCTGCCGATGTCGCGCCGCGTTTAGTATACTCCAGGCTACCACCACGATTACCAGCCTCTGCAGCAGCAGCAGCCGCATCAGCAGCAGCAGCAGTCCTTCCAGGTTGAGTCACTTCAGGCAAGCCTGAACCGAACGCATTTTCTATTTCGGTTCCGCCATTATCATCTGACCCTACGTCGGAATCATACCCGCTATCCATAACTCTCGAAAGGGAGAAAACAATGTTCCTTGCCTGGAAAACTTTCCTCCCTGCCTGCGTCCTATAATATCCGTGCCCACTACTCCCTTCAAAATGGATGCCAAGAATCCTCCCCTGGTCTGCCGCCTTCTCGATCTAAACAAACGCCATAAAAAATCATGGATCCAAAGGTGAGACGGCTGTGGAATGATGTTCACTCCAGGTGAGATGGCAAGGCGGAAGCTGTGCTGGGAAAAGGTGAGTTTCGGGTTTCGCAGGTGCTCAGCGAAGAAGGCCGTTGAATTTCGTCCGAGGCGCCCAATGTTGGATCGTGCGAAAAGCAGGACCGAGTCGCGATCTGTGGACATGCATACAGGGTCGATAGTCAATTGAGTCCCGAAATTGAGCACGTGGCGTCAAGTAAGAGGCTGGCATTGTTTTGAAAGCATCAACTGTACAGAAAATAACAATAAATATTAAAAGATCTATTAATTATGAAATTCCACACTTTCATCAACCATTTCATCACTCACAATAACTCTCTCCCACTCATCCAGAATTCTCTTTCTCCGGTTACGACCGACGGTGTTTTGCGTTGTACGTTGTATAATGCTATCTCACCCAAAAAAAAACAAAAAAAACCTTTCCAAATATGGCACATTATTGTTGGCACAAGCCCTTGGCACAAGCATAACACGCAAAGACCGCCACATAGACAACCCTGTAACCCCACATACGGTACACTAATATACACACATAACCACAAGTCAGTCATCCTTTGTCGCAAGCAGAGACCCAGATGCCCACTGACGCCACAGCCTCTGCTTCCTCTGCTTCCTGCTTTGCTCCGCCCTCTCATCCCGAGGATCAACCCGAGTGCTAGCAGCATCAGCGGCAGCAGCAGTGCCAGCAGCAGCAGAGGCAGCAGCAGCAGGGGAGCGGAAGGAGAGCCAGGAGAAGAGGCGGCGGTGGTCCAGAAGCTGCCGCTGCCGCTGCTTTGCTGCCGCTGCCATGCGCGCTATGGCCTGCGTGGCCAGCACCCCCACCTGTTACAGTTGACAGTTCCAGTGACAGATTGAATTTGAGGGAAGCACGGTTAGAGTGCAGGCAGAGGGGGAGAATAAGGGGGGGGAAGGAGAGAGGGAGACGAATGCAGCAGACTACCGAAGGGCTTGGAAAAGGGGAGATAATTATGAGATGGGGGGGGGGGAAATCGGGGCAAAGTACAGGGAAGAGGGGGAGAAGAAGCGGGAGAAGTGGGCAAGAGAGGGAGGAACATACCTTGAAGGTCTTAATGGCGTCGACTCGCGAGTGGTCGAGTACCCTCTCGCCCGTGTGCGAGACACTGACAAAGTCGTCGTACTCACTGCCCCACTGCACCTCCCCGTCATGCACGTAGTAGTCCTGCGCGGGTTGGAAGGAGGTGTTGGGAGGCAGGGGGGGAAGATATCTAGAGTGCGTCAACGAATGCGTGCGACACGCAGACACAGAGTCGTCGTATTCACTGCCCCACTGCACCTCGCCGTCATGCACGTAGTAGTCCTGAGTGGTGGGGGGAGGGGGATGAGTGTAGGAGTGTTGGGGTGATGTAGAAAGACAGCCCGCACACAAGGACAGGCACAAAGAGTCAACCACAGCCCCTTGCCCACAGCCCCTTGCCCACAGCCCCTTGCCCACAGCCCCTTGCCCACAGCCCCTTGCCCACAGCCCCTAGCATACACCAGCACACGCCAGCACACGCCAGACGGGCTGCATACACCGACGCCCTGTCGGTGCTCAAAGCCACTCGTGGCGTACTGCAGGTATGGTAAGCCGAGCCGCATAAAAGGCACCAAAGAAGGAGGGGTTACCTGGATGTGGAAGTCGGGCTGCATGGACGCCCTGTCGGTGTTTTTGAGAGGACTATGACAACAGGCGCAGCGGCAAGGACAGGTGAGTTACAGAGTGGCAGAAACAGCGCAGGCTTACCTGGATGTGGAAGTCGGGCTGCATGGACGCCCTGTCGGTGCCCGAGACCACTGATGCTGTACTGCCGGTACGTAAGGCAAGCTGAGTCTGCACGGCGAGCTTGGGGTTTGCAGTGCACGCACCTGGATGTGGAAGACGGGCTGCATGGACGCCCTGTCGGTGCCCGAGACGACAAGGGCGAAGCTGGCATCGCCCGCTTGCAGCGAGGCTGGCGTGTGCCCCCACAGCGGACTGCTCTCGTCCACTATGTGCCGCACACTCATGCCGTACTGCAGGTATGGCACCTGGTGGGGGTTGCGAGGGGGGACGGGGGGAGGGGGAAAGGGAAAAGGAGAAGGGGGGAAAAAGAAGGCGGGAAAAAAGAAGGGGGAAGCGAGAAAGGGGAAAAGAGAAGGGTGACAGGGATGAGGCGCCTAACAAGTCTCAATGCTCATGTCATACCTCAAGGATTGAGGGTATGAGCAGGCACTTGCGTGAATGGAGGACGGGGTTGGAAGGCGGAGGGAGAAAACACCAAGGCTCCACCATGGTAAGCTGAGGCCACGCTGCTGCCAAGGAAACAACAGAACCATCCCCACCTTGGCCGCTGCTAAAGAAAAAACATTCCACCCCGGCCCCCACCCACCTGCCCCTTGACGACAGGCCGGTCGTGCACGGAGGAGAAGACAGAGCCCGAGGGCAGCATGTGGAATGGAAGCAGCGCCCACCTTGCCCCACTTTCCCCCCACTTCGGCCCTAGCCCCTCCCCCATGCCCCCAAAGGAAAAGAGCCACCCACACCAAGGAGGCATGCACGCACGCACCTGCTCTTTGACGACTGGCAGGTCGTGCACGGAGCAGAAGACGGAGCCCGAGGGCAGCATGTGGAAGCAGCGCCCACCTTGCCCCACATTCCCCAGTATCCCCATCCCCTCCCCACCAACCCACCCACCCACGCACGCACCTGCCCCTTGACCACAGGGAGGTCGTGCACGGAGCAGAAGACGGAGCCCGAGGGCAGCATGTGGAAGCAGCGGAAGGTGAGCGACACCTGTGCGTCCACCAGGTCGCAGGGCGCCGGGCCCGTCAGCACAAAGCGCGCTGAGAAGACCCTGCAGAGGATGCGGTGGGGATGGGGAGAAAGGGGAGCGGGCAAGGGAGGGGACGGGACGGGATGGGAAGGGATGGGATGGGAGAAGAGATGGGTTGAAGGGACAGGACAGATGGGTCGAGGGGACAAGACAAGTTCTTTGAAATAAAGGCCTTGAAGTGTTTTTGCATGGTGAAATAAATAACTCTGGTTTGCGGAGGTGGAGAGGCATGGAGAGGAAAGAGAAGGAGACAATGAGCGGGATGGAGAGGAGAGTGGGAGGAAAATGGGGACGAGCAATGGGAGGAGGATGGGAAGGCAGGTACATACCGGACTCGGTCTGGGTGAGCAGCAGCAGCAGCAGATTCAGACGCCTTGGCAGAGGCAGCAGCAGAGGAGGGCAGGGCGAAGGCCTGGTCAGAGATGAGAGCAGTGCGGGAGCAGCGCACTGGCTGCGATGGCACTGACATGCGCGCAAACACTGCCAGGCGTGGGGTGAGCGTAGGGTGGGTGGGGGTGGGGTGGGGTTGTGAGCGGGTGGTGTGCGGGCGGGGTGGAGGAGAGTGGAGTTAGAAGGTGAGCTGAGATGGAACAAGGAGGTCGGGAGGAGGGTAAGAAGAAGGGAAGGCAAGGCAATGAGATGCAAGTGGATTGCTTGTGGGGCAAAGAAAGAGGATTGGGGATGTTTGTGGTGCGGGGTGGGGGGGATGGGCGGTGAAAGTGAAGAAAGAGGAGCGCATAGAGTGAGAATGAAAGAGAAGGCGAGATTGTAAGGGAGGGAGGGAGAGAACGAGAGAGGGAGGGAGGTAGGGAGGGAGCGAGGGAAGTAGGGAGGGAGCGAGGGAGCGAGGGAGGGAGGGAGGGAGGGAGGGAGGGAGGGAGGGAGGGAGGGAGGGAGGGAGGGAGGGAGGGAGCGAGGGAGGGAGGGAGGGAGGGAGGGAGCGAGGGAGGGAGGGAGCGAGGGAGGGAGGGAGGGAGGGAGGGAGGGAGGGAGGGAGGGAGGGAGGGAGGGAGGGAGGGAGCGAGGGAGGGAGGGAGGGAGGGAGTTGGAAGCAGGAGGTAGTACCAGCGCCGGAGAGGAAGACGAAGAGGAACTGTGCGAGGAGTGTGTTGAGGTTGGCGAGCACGAGTGTGTAGGGCGAGTGCGCTGACACAGGCGAGCCGCCAAAGGTCGTGGACAGGGACACGCTGTCGATAGGTAAGAGGGGCGAGGGGTGAGGGGCGAGGGGCGAGGGGTGAGGGGCGAGGAGCGAGGGGCGAGGGGCGAGGGGCAAGGGGCGAGGGAGGAGGGAGGAGGGGCATGAGAGAGGAAGAGGCGAGGGAGAAAGTGGAGGTAAGGTTCGCAAGGATGTCACAGAAAGATAGAGTCGATAGAGAGGACATGAAGGCAAAGGGTGAGCGAACAATGGGAGGATGGCAAGGCAAGGCAGTGGCTCATACAAGAACAAAAGACGCACAAGGCAAAGAATGGGCAGAGGGAGGAAAAGGAAGCGAGGACCACAACGGAGACGAGGGAAACGAGAGAGGCTGCGGGGGCGAGGGGTGGTGTAGCGTACGAGTAGAGGAAAACGTTGAGGATGATGAAGAGAGCACACTGCAATGAGTCGTGTTTTGAGTGACTCAAAACACGAGGGTGGTGTGGTGTGGTGTGGTGTGGTGTGGTGTAGTGTGGTGTGGTGTGGTGTGGTGTGGTGTGGTGCGTGTCATACGAGTAGAGGAAGACGTTGAGGATGATGAAGAGAGCTCGCTGCACGGTGGCGAGGCAGAGCACACAGGTGGAGGTGGTGAGAGAGAGCAGTGTGACGAGGACACTGTACAGACGAGGAGGGAGCGAGGAGAGGAGGGGCGTGTGAAGGGGAGAGGAGGAACAGGAGGAGGAGGAGGGAGGGCAGGTGGTGGATGGGGAGTGATGCTCGTGGCAGTGTGGCTGCTGCTGCTGCTGCTGCTGCTGCTCCTGCTGCTGCTGGTCGTGGTAATGCTGCTGAGGCTGCTGCTGGTGGTAAGGAAGGCTGTGCGTTTCGAGGTCTAGCTGATACAGCTGTTCCTCGTGCTGTGCCTGCTGCTGCGCTGAATCGCGAATCGCCTCTAACTGGCTCGCCAGTGAGTCGCCCGAGTGAGAACACGCGTGGGAGTGAGGGTACGGGTGCGAGTCAGGGTGAGGATGCGGGTGAGTGTGGGAGTGAGTGAGGGGGTGGAGGGGCGGTAAGATGCCGTCTTCGAACTGCAGGCCGCCCACGCCGAGCAGGAAGAGCGGCGTGAAGAGCAGACTGAGGGCGATGGGGGCTGCAAACACTGCCACGAAGAACGCCAGCGGAGGCATCTGCAGGGCGGCGTGTGTGAAGGGCGATGTGAGGGATGGGGATGATGGGACGCGGTGAATGAGACAAGAGAAGGAACGAGAAGGGAGGGCATGGGTAAAAAGCGTATGGACGTGACTTTGAGGCAGGTGACTTAGACGTCCATGAGCACGCAGTAGAGTCACTTGTGTGAATTCCTACGAGGGAGTCAACTCAAAAAGAAGCCCGCCTTGAGGCAGGTAACATAGACGTCGGTTAGCACACACTGGAGGCGCGTGGCATGCGTGACTCGAATGAGGAGATTCCCAAAAGTGAGTCGACTCATGAAAAGGCATCACCTTGAGGCAGGTGATATAGACGTCGGTAAGAATGCAGTACAGGCGCACCTCACGTGTGACCCGAAAGCGGCGATTCTGAGTCTGGTGACTCAAAAGAAGCCCACCTTGAGGCAGGTGACGTAGACGTCCGTGAGCACACAGTACAGGCGCGCATCACGCGTGACCTGAATGAGGCGGTTTCTGAGTCGACTCAAAATCCCAAAAAAGCTCACCTTGAGGCAGGTAACGTAGACGTCGGTTAGAACGCAGTAGAGGCGCGCGCCATGCGTGACCCGAATGAGGCGGTTTCTGAGTCATCTCAAAACTCAAAAGGAGCCCACCTTGAGGCAGGTAACGTAGACGTCTGTGAGCACGCAGTAGAGGCGCGCGTCATGCGTGACCCGAATGCTCTCCACGCTCTTGCGCCCCCGCGGCTTGAACAGCGCTGCTGCTGACATGGCAGGCGGAGCGGGAGGGGGAGGGGACCGGGGGGGAGGCGGAGCAGTGGTAGGGGGAGTCGAAGGCGGGTGCCCATCGTCAAACTCCCCTGCCTCCTCCGCCTCTTCCCCCTCTTGCTCCTCCCCCTCCGCCTTACCACTTTCCCCTGCTTCACTCACTCCTACCCTCACTCCCTTTCCATCGCCACTGAAACCACCAGCAGCGGCAGCAGCAGCAGCACCTTTACCACCACCACCACCACCACCACCACCATTGCCACGAGTGCTCTGTCCTAGGTTCTCTCTCACTCTCGCTCGCACTACTCCCCATCCTCTCCCCCTTCCCTGCACGCCCTCCCCATACTCTCGCCCCCGTGCCACCTCCTCACTGGCCCTTAATCCACTCACCACTGAACCATCCTCTTCACTCATACCATCATCACTCACCATCCACCCATTTTCCCCCTCTCCTTCCTCCTCAAGCTTCTCCCAAATCTCTCCAGCCACCGTTCCCCCGCTCTTCCCCCCACCTTCCCCCTCATCCCCCCATTCAGCCACGGTATGCAGCCCTTTCTCCGCCGCCCCCCTTGCGACTCCACCCGCCTTCCTCCCCGTGCCGTCCTCGCTAGGAAAGCTCTTCTGCTCGGCTAAGGCACCACCACCATCAAGATCAGCATCATCCGCAGCAGCAGCGTCAGCACCAGCAGCAGCAGCAGCATCACCACCACCACCAGCGGCGAAAGCGGCGGCGGCGGTGGCGGCGGCGACGGTGTTGGCGACGCCTGTGAGCGTGTCGTCCACCAATCCCAGCTCGTCCAGCGACGCTGCCGCACTGCGCGACGCCATCGCCAGCTGTCGCCAGCACGGACGAAAGAAGGGAGGGAAAAAGGGAATGGATGAGGGGAAGGGGGAGGAGGATGGGGAGTGGAGAGAGGAGGAAAAGGCGGAGTGGCGAGAAGGAGGGCGAGAGAAGGTTAGGGTTGAACCGACGTGTAATGCAGATGGAGGAACGGAACAAGACAAGGGGGGGAAGGAAGGGGGGATGTGCAGAGTATGATGCGGGAAGCAAGGAGATGAGAACGGATGACTTGATGGATAGATGCGTTAGCATCGTAGCTTAATCATCATCTTAATTTTAATCGTCGTCGTCATCATCATCGGCGGCAGCAGCACCGCTCAACTAGCCTAGATCTTTAGTCGGCATTGGAGCTCGCTGCAAATCTACCCGCCATTAACTTGAGAGCAGCAGCAGCAGCAGCAGCAGCGCTGAGACCATGACAGCATCGTACCCGCGTGGAGAACGACACCACATTGCCTAGTCGCCTCCACCGAAGGCTCGCGGAAGGCGCGTTCGTGCCGCCGTCACGACGACCGCTGCTGTTAGCGTTGCCAGCAGCGGTGCTACCAGGGGCATCGTCCTTGGCGCTGCTACCGCTGCTGCCGCTGCTCGCGACATCACCACTGCCAGGAGCACTGCGGGGAGAAATATCTCCATTCCAGAAGATCGTATCTCCCGCCGCATTGTCTCGCACGGCCGCCTGTCCAGTCGCGGTTGAACGCTCGCGAGACGCCAGTAGCGGTGCCATGATCCCTGTATCGGCCCTGAAATGGCCTGCGTCAACTGTCCCCGCGGAAAGGTTCTCAGATCTCATCGCTAGTAGTACTAGTGGTACCTAAAGGCTTACTTATAGCGCTCCGAGCGTGGAAAGCGATGGTCTCATCAGTATCTGTTGAAACCTGACAGTGCCGCTGCTGGAGTTGAAAGCGACAGGACAGTTGCAAAGCAATCTGACCTGGGTAGAAGAAAACGAATAACGTGCTGACAGTGGCGATACCTTCTGACGATATTTTTTACTGTCAAGCTAAGTTCAACCTAAGCAACGGAAATCTGCCTGGGTTCTACCTCACTAGTGGTGAGACCTGACTAAGAAAAATTGGTCGTACAGGATATTTGAGGACGCATGCCAATCTTGACAGTTTCGGGAAAAAAAAAACAAAAAAAAAAAAAAAAAAAAATACGAAGAGCGCGTCTAGACTGAAACCGTTTATCGAGGGAACTGACGAGGATGACGAGAAAGGACGAGGATGTGCCTCCGAAATTCTTCGAGGCTGCGGTTGACGGATTGATGACATCATTGCCTCCCATTCGGGAATCCGGATTCTCTGCTTCCTGACAAGGGAGATTTGCTACAGAAACGGGTTTTCCGAAAATTGTGCGCTCGTAATGGTGCAGCAGTCGAAATTTCGTGGGCCGACTACTGTACTGCGATTTTGGCACCAGTACGGCAGCAATTCGATCCTACGCGTGCAAACAAACATTCTTCGAGAAACCCGTTTCTGTAGCAAATTATCCTCCTGACCCTCTTCTTCCTTACCTGCTTAGACAGGGCAGACCTGGAAGGATTGGGCCAAAATATCGCCTGACATAAAATTTCATAGCAAAAGAAACAAGGCTCGACGTGAAATCGTCGGAAGGGTTGCGTAGAGTGTATATGTCAAGAATGAAAGTGTTGGTTTGACTAAGGTTGGTTGGGGTACATAAACTTAACCCTAATAGTTGTACCCCCTATAACGCACATCACTAAGACTACAACAAGTGAGGGGTGTCAAGCAAAACCAAAAGTGTACGGTCACAAGACCAGTCACAAAGAAACAAAGCTCAGGGTGGATCACAACGTCACCACACACTCCGAGCACAAGCAAAAGAGCCACAAGGCCAGTTCAAGAGTTCACAGAGGTATATATATAAAGCGTACAAACAAAGCAAGCAGATAACTCAAGACTACGCAAGGCGAAAACCTGTGTCAACGAGACCTAACTGCACACAACACCTCTGGTGGTCACAAGGCGGAAGCGCCTTGGTGAAGATGTCTGCAGTGTTGGCCTCGGACTCCACAAAGTCGAAGCGAGCCTGTCCACGCCTCTGCAACTCTCGCAGAAGAAAGTACCTGACGTTGATGTGCTTCACTCTGCTCTCCAGTCGCGGCTCTCGACAGAGGAGAATCGACGCCTTGTTGTCAGTGAACAAGGTCGGTGCAGAGCTCGGCCGCTCACCAAGGTCGGTGAGCAAGAAGGTCAACCAACGCAGCTCCTGTGCAGCCATGGCTCCAGCGTAGATCTCGGCCTCAGCAGTAGAGGTCGAGACCGAGGAGGAACGCGTGGACCTCCACGAAACAGCTCCAGAGCTCACGCTAAAGCAGTACCCCTAAGTAGACCTGTGAGTCTCGGCGTCGTCAGCGTAAGAAGAGTAACAGTGTCCAGTAAGTACAACAGACTGCTGCCCTCCAAGAACCAGTCCCACGCCTGATGTCGTCGCTAGGTACTTCGCCACCCTCACAGCAGCTGTCCAGTGAACTGGACGGTGTCTCCCTGGCGCAACAAAGCGAGCAATGCTGCTGAGAGGGAAGGCGAGGTCCGGGCGAGTACAAATCATCAGGTACACGAGGCAGCCCACAAGCTCTGCGTAAGGACCACTAGGCTCAAACGGCTCGTCAGGGAAGGGTCCAGTGAGTCTGTGGTCAACAGCAAGAGGTGTGCGCTGTACTGTGGAGTGCTGAAGCTCGAACCGCTGAAGCTCGAACCGCTCGAACCACCATGTGTGACTGTGAGAGTGTAATGGTGCGAGCGGCTCTGTCCCTGGTGATCTGCAGGCCAAGGTAGTGGCGCAGCTCACCAAGGTCAGTGCACGTGTGTCTCTTCTGCAGTTCGCGCTTCACGTCAGCCAAAGCAACCCTGTCAGCAGTGGCAAAAACCAGGTCGTCGACGTTGACCAGTACAAAGAACGGTGTGGAGCTACACCGAACAAACAGCGACGGGTCGGCAGAAGACGGTTGGAAACCGAGGTCAAACAGGGTAGAACGAAGGGTGTCGTGCCACTCACAAGGAGCCTGACGGAGACCGTAGACCGGTCGCCTCAGCCTCCACTGGGTCCCAGGAGGGAAGGTGCCAGTGAAGGCAGAGGGACGACGCAGCCAGACCTCCTTGTGTAGGCTACCCTGAAGGAAAGCAGTAGAGAAGTCGAGAGAGTGTAACCCGTAGTCTCTTTGTGCTGCTACGTGCAGTAACACCTGAAGAGTGGTCATCTTCGGGGTAGGCGCGAAGGTCTGAAAGAAGTCAACTCCCTCGCTGTGTCCATGGCAGCTCTCCACTGAGAGGCCCAAGGCCCTGACATTGCCTCAGCGTAAGTGCGAGGAGTAGGTATGTCAAGAGCGTCGGGGTCTCCCTCAGGGGAGAGCAGCATGGCACAGAGATGAGGGGAAGCGGCTGCCAGGAACTCTAGCTCAAACTGCCTGTCCTCTAGGACATCACAGCCAAGGGCAGACTCACCCCCGACGGTCAGAGGACTGGTAGGAGGAGCAGCCACAAGACTGGTGGCGTAGTCAAGGCGGCGAGTAGAGGCAAATTGAGTGACTGCAGCAGTAAGAGCGGAGACAGAGGACAGAGAAGGACGTGGGTCGGTAACAAGAGAGGCGAGAACACGAGAGAGAACAGGACGGTACGTGCGGTAGTAGTCCGTGACAGGAGTAGAGAGGGAAGCAGTGAGAGCCGACTCAGGAGGAGAAGGAAGTACAGAAGGAGATGTACGAGGCGGACTAGAACGAAACAGGGCAGTACGAAGGTCAGAGAAGGGAACAGGAGACGAGGGACGAGCACGAGGAGAGCGACGAGAAGGCCAAGTGTGAGAAAGAGGAGGGGACAACGGAGGCTGAGAAGGAGGGAAAACAGCTGGGGAGGGGTCAGAAGGAGGAAGCGGAGGACCAGAGACGGGAGGAGAGGGGGAGGAGGGAGGAGAGGGAGAGGGGAGACCGAGGGTCCGAAGACCAGAGACAGGAGGAGGAGGTGGCGGCTGCTGCTGCTGCTGCTGCGGCTGCGACTGCTGCTCCTCCAGCTGCGGCGGCTGCTGCTGCTCCTGCTGCTGCGGCTGCTGCTGCCGCTGCTCCTGCTCCGGCTGCTGCTCCTCCAGCCGCTGTAGCTCCAGCTGCTGCCGCTGCAACTCTCTCTCCTCTCGCTCCAACTCCAGCTGCTCCTCACGGGCACGGCGAACACGGGCCTGGTGCCGGGTCGGGTAGGGGTGGGGGGGAGGAGTAGTGGTAGCCCCAGGACCGCTCTCCAAAGAACCAGTCGCACCACCCCTAGAGCCAGCACCACCAGAAGAAACAGGGCCCGTCCCAAGCTCTCCAGGTCCAGCAGAGGGTGCACCCCCAGTCGTAGCACCCCCAGTCGTAGCACCCCCAGTCGTAGCACCCCTAGGGACAGCTCCACTAACACCAGCTCCCCGAAGACTAGAGTCTCCTGCAGTCACGGGCGCAGCTCCAACTCCAGCACCCCCAGAACCAGGACCTCGCACAGGTACGCTCTCTTCTCCAACTCCAGCACCTCTAGAGCTAGCACCTCCAGGGTCCTCGCCACGAAAACCGGCTCCCGCAGGGTCTGCTGTAGGCTGGGAGGAGGACTGCGGGGAAGGAGGCTGCACCTGAGGGGCTACCGAGGGGGGAGGGGTAGCGTGGGACACACCTGACGGGGCGGGACCAGGGGGGGGGGGGCTGTACCGGGGGAGCAGGAGTGGGAGCTGAAGTCAGGAAGAGAGGGGGAGGAGGAACCGGGAAACCTCGACAGGGGTACCTGACGTAGTAGGGGACGGACTCGTCGAAACAGACGTCACGAGAGTCAAAGAACCGGTGAAGGGGAGGGTGGTAAAAGGTGTAGTCAGAGGAGTCAGCAGGGAAACCAAGGAAAACGCAGGGAACAGCGCGAGGCGAGATCTTGTCCGCGGAGGTATCGCGAACAAGTGCCAAGCAACCCCAGACATGAAAACGTGACGCAGCACCAGGGGACCCGGTCCAAAGACTGGTCGGTGAAACCTCTGGCCGAGAGACACGTGGCCAGAGGTTCAGCAGGTGAGCGGCGTACCGAACCGCGTAGAGCCACACAAAATGGGGGGCACGGGCGTGAGTCATGGAGGTGCGGGCGATCTCCATGACCAAGCCTATGCGGCACTCAGCAACCCCATTCTGCTGTGGGGACTCTGGAAGCGTCCAGGACTGACGGATGCCCTGCTCGCGACAGAATCCAACGAGAACGCCAGAGAGAAACTCACCCTCGCGGTCGGAGTGAAGACAGCTGACACGACGACCACGAGTGTCCGCAGTGGTAAGCAACCACCGGATCAGCGTAGAAGTCACGTCGGACTTCTTCGCCAGGGGGAGTAGTCGTCAACGACCACGAGAAAGAAACTCTCTCGCTCAGGGCCAGGGCGCGAGGCGGGGCCCCAGACGTCCAAGTGGAGAGTCTCGAAGGGCTCGGTGGCTGGACGAAGGGAGGAGGAGTGAGGGGTGGCGCGCAGTCGACCCTCGACGCATGGACCGCAAGGTGGTGCAAGCGAAGGCGGCACCGACGACAAGACTCGCGGGAGGCCTAAGACAAGACGCTGACTAGACATAGCGCGCAGGCGAGAAATGGACGGGTGCCCCATCCGGTGGTGCCACAAAACAGTGGGGTGGGCAAGTGACCGGCAGGAGCACGACGCAGCAACTGGACCAGACACCGGAACCTGACCAGACACAGCTACCTGGGGAGACGCGGCAAC